TTTTCCTGTAGATAATTGTCCTGCCACTGCTTGATGCTTATTGTATCCTATTGCTTAGCATACATGCAAATGTGTACCATAAGATGTGCACAGATAACTAGTAGGTCTTTTCTTAATGTTTGTGTTTAAAATATTGTTGGTTTATGTTGTTTAGTTAAAATGTCTCTGTATTTAATTGTTAACTTAAAAATGTTTTGGCCTTTATATAAATATCAAGAAATGAAGTTGCCATTCACTGGAGAAGTCTTAACCCATTTTGATAACAAATCCACTCTCTTTTCAAAATTTGCTGCTCTGCTTTATCACATCTCAGAATTGAAGCCTGGATTGCATCCATCCCAACCATTCAATAGCCTAGCTGCTCACTCTGGGGCTGTCAGTGCATCACTGCTTTGCCCTCTGACCCTAAAACCTCCTTTTCTTCATTTCTTCCTACTTCCAAGCACCAGTATTGCTACAGTCACCTATTTTTTGAACCAAAGAGAAGAAAGTAATCACTAATAAGTTTGACTATACTTATATGGACAGTGAAATACAATATTTGAAACCTGGATTGTTTAGGAAAATACAGGGTTGTGGTCTATCATTATTTATGCTTTTCTTACAAGTAGCAGAGGACACTATGCATACTTGCTTAAGCAATGAAGATTTATTATCCCAGGAAAGAAATCCAGAGGCACAATTTTAGGTTTGGTTAACTCAGTGGATTAACATATCCTCAATGATTTTGGTTGGTACCCTCTCTTCATCCATGTTCGGTCATGCTCAGTATGTGGTCTCTTGTCCTTACTGTTCTCAATTCATGAATGAAAGTTTGCTGCAGCAAACTCTGTATTAGGTTTCTAGGGCTGAGTGCTTTAAATGACAACAATGTATTGTCTCACATTCTGGAGCTAGAAGTCTGAAATCCAGGTCTTGTCAAGGTAATTTCTTTTTGAGGGATGCGAAGGAATATCTGCTCCAAGCCTCTCTCCAGCTTCTGGCGATTTGCTGGCAATCTTTGACATTCCTTGGCCATAGTTTGTCAATTTTTGTCTTAGACTAATATAAATATACTATCTGGAATTGGAGGTGGACCCAGGAGTCCTGGCAAATTTAAACCTCAACCACTTTTTCCTTGTATTTATTTTTTAAATAAGGAAGAAGTTTCACATTTGTTGGAAGGCAACATATGGTCACTGTAAGTATAGCACTCAGCCTCTCTAATCTTGGGTGGCTTATGGTACAGCTTGTCATGACTACTGATTTGAAAATGCTGCCTTGCAAGACAGATTTTGAGCATTAAGAGCATAATCAAAGAATCAGGATGACTGTGTTCAAATCCTTGCTTTGCACCTTGCCAGTTGTGTGACCTTAACAAGTTACTAACCTTTCTGTGTCTCAAATTCTCAGTAGTAAAATGATGATGAGATAATAGCACGTGCCTTACACCTAATATATTATAGGTTTGAGTGTAGATTAAATAACAAACTAGGAATGATCATCCCTTTACATGAGCTATTTATGTGGTTGTATTTTGAGTATGTGGCCTACTTTCACATGTGGAAAGATGAGAATTTGAGGTAAGAACTTTATATAAACTTGCTTTACCCAAAGTATTCTCTTAGACCACTCTTTAACATTCCCTTCAGGACTAAAAACAAGATATATATAATTACATATATGAATAATAGATGTAAGAATTAGCTACAGTATAAGAAGTGATAAGGCTGCCCAGTCTAATTAGTGATATTCATGGTTGTACCTGAAGAAAAATAGACCATGGCACAGTGGATTCAGTCTATGGATTTAGATTCTGTTGGCCACTACAATCAATACAAATCACCATAAAATGAAAAATGAAGCAATGATCCATATTGATGATGACATCTAGCCAAGGAAACCCATAGGGTTTGTGCCTGCCCCGGCTTGGGTTGGTTTTATGCCTTGTACATAGAAGCATTTTAATTCATGCTTATGCTTTATACCATCAATCCTACTTGCCCCGGGCTTACTAGATTCACAATACTAATGTTTACTCAAGGAGAGAGGAGTTCTTAGGATGTCAAATTGTCTTTTATGTCTTTCCTTCTCCTTAAGCTCACATTAATGATGCCTTTCTACAGAACAATAAATTAACTATTACTTCTCTTTTTGAGGATGCCAATAAAATCTTCTATAAATAATGAGTGAATAAGCCTTTCTATCCTTCTCTTCATATCCCATATTTATTTTCATTTAATCAAGTCAAATCAAATGCTGTTGAATTTTAGAATTTTAATCTTTGCCATCACATGGAGACCAATCGATTCAATACAGAAAAGGGGTTAACCAGATTCTTAATGCCTTTAATGCCAGATATATAATGTTCTTTATGCTACTGAAATTTAATTATGGAAAATTTCAAAACATATGCAAATTTAAAGGCATATGATGAACCCTTATGTTCCCATAACTCAGGTTCCACCATTTTCAATTATTGCTGTATCTCATTTGCACTAATCTTAGGCTGATCACATTTTAGTTTAAATCAATATATGACTGCGAATTATCTTTACTGTCTCAAAAGTGTTTCAATTTGGACAATGAATTAGTTGGTCATTTTATCTATATACCTTACTAGCTGCTCTTCCCAGCATGCTGCCTTCTTTGAGCTTTTTTAATGCTTCAGATGGGCAGTTTTGAATAATTAACTGATCAATGTCAACCTCTGTGGCTCATTATTTGACTTCAGGGACTGCTTAGTTGATGGATTCACCAAATTCAACGGTATCTTTTGCACCTACAGGAGTACTTCAGTTGCTGAATATAAGATATATGGAATGTTGTTCTGTACTATGGTAAAAGGGTAAGTTAGACCTAATAAATATTCTCAGTGACTTCATAATTATACAATTAAATACAAAGAAAAAAAACCCCTTCAGTTTTTGACATTTCAAAATTTTCTAGTAATTGTCATTTTTTATATACTGTATAAACTTTTTACTGAGAAAATCTGTATGAATATTAAGAAAAATTGAGACATGAGAGGTTTATATCAGCATGTGGTTTTCTTTTTTTTCTTTTTTTTTAGAGGTTAATTACTTTTTATTGTTGAATTATATTATAAGTCTACATCTACAGTTTAATCAGGAAAAAATGCTTTGCATTTACATCAAGGACACATTTATTCTAGAGGAATAAAACAGACACAGACAAAAGACCAGTTACACATCAAAAAAAAAAAAAAAAGGACTACATGTTTTATCTGGTCCTACTTTTGCTATTTTGGACCATACCTTTCCTATTAAAAAACTGATCTTACATACATATTAAGTCTGATTTATCACCCCACATTTTTAAACATTAAATGCAGCTTCTCACAATTTCTATTTATAAACAAAAGATTAAGAGCAAAATGGGAAACAGTTTAACAACAAAGCAAGTGAAAGTAGATCGCTATTACCTTACAGCAGAGAAGTTGAGTAAAATGTGCCCCCTGTGTGGCTCATCTCAAAGAAACACTTTTACTCAGAGAGAGGCAAGCTTTTCTGAGCTAGGAGTGTTTCTCACTCCCTCTGCAGTACTGGGGCCTATAGACATTTCTGGTAAATTGCCTAGTGAAAAATGTCTACAAAATATCTAAAAGCTAAATATCAGAACAAGGTTAATTCAAATCAAAATTGTGTGCTGATCTAAACATACATCTTTAGCTTTTTCCCCTTTTCAAAGTATCTTTTTATTTCAGAAGATATTTAAAAATAACTTACATTTTTTGTGTGCTTTCTGGTAAATGACTGTAAAATAACTCAAACGAGTAAGTTTAAAAGTTTTGTTTTACTTGAGTCTATTGAAATTTCAATTACTTAACCAAGTTATACATGAGGTAAGTTTTAGCCAGAAAAAAAAATCAACCACAAAGAATAAAGTTAATCAACTTCAAGAATACACAAAATTCATAATGCCCGCCTCATATTCAGAGTTTACAAATTCATGTATTAACTACTGTAGATTCAAGAAAAGTTAACTATGTAATTTAAAAGCAAATACCTTCTGCATTTTTAAATCAAATTATGTTGGGAAACTGGAGGCATAAAAACTTGGCAAAATTTGTTTTTGTAACAGAAGACAATGCAATAAGGACTCCAAATGGAAGCTAAGACCAGTGTGTAAAGTTTCTAACTTCTAAACAGATAGACACTTATCTAAAAAATATTTTGGTAGCTAATTGGGTTGACAATATTTTTTGCTGTAAATAAAAAGTACTGTTTTCCAATTATAGCCTTATAGCTAGCTAAACAGCTTTTAAAAACATGTACAGCCAGCTAACAGTCCTTTAAAACATGTACATATGTTACACTAAAGGATCCCTGCTAATATTCAACTGTATTTAAATGGGTCTTACTTAAATAGAACATTCATGATACTAGAAATCTTTTAAAAAGTGAGTACAGTAGGGCTACAATAGCATTACAATTAATAAAAGTTACAGAAGAGATTATTGCTGTACTTTTCCCCATAGACATGAAATTTTTGCTCTAACAAAAAGTACAACCCCAAGTTACTTTTTCTCTTACAATTTCATGTTTCACTTATCTCTAAAGTTTTTATCCAGCAGAGAATAATTCTTAAAACTTTCCTGTAAGAATTCAAAGTATTTAAATGTGTAGCTTCACATTATGCATTTTGCCCTTCTTGTTTCCCAAATACACAGAAACAATATACATTTTTCTCAAAAATGAAATAAGATGTCCACATTAAAAAAATAAAGCCTACAAAAAAGTTCCAGAGCTAATAAAGATTATTCATATGGCACGAAGTGATCTCCTACTAGTCCAAAGTCCAAAACATTTAAATGAAGTCCATTTATATAGTATCTTGTTTGCTTTTCAACGGAACACTACATTTATTGAGGTGAAATCACATTATTTTAGCTCTTGAGTCAACAAGTGTACACAAATGTTTTTTTTACAGTTATTAAAAATAGGAGACCAAGTTGAGTGTGCCAAAGAGATATCATTCAGTTGGAATTTCCAGAGTCATCAACACGTGGAGAGAATGGATTTACCTGGTTGGTTTCCATAGCTTGGTAGACCAAAAACAAAAAAAATGACCACAACAACAAATAGCAAAATTTTTATCCACATGGTAATGGAGCGTCCCTTTTTCGTTTTTTCTGACTTGACATCTGCCAAGGGAACATACTTAGGAATATATTTAGATGAAAAAGATTCCTCCATCCTGAAATCACTGAGTTCTAATGGCCGGCCTGCAGCCCCTTTGATTGGTCTGCGGCAACTAGCACTAATTCCTGTTGGTGTAGATGCTTCAAAGGGAAACATTTCCTTAGGAATATCCCTTTCTATTCTTCTTTCCTCTGTCTTTTCTCCCACTTCAGCTCTTGTCAATGGTTTCTTTGCTGTTCTTCTGGGTATGTCTGAGAATTCAGTGATTGGCAGAATGGGAGCTGCATGCTTGAAATTTCCAGTCACCCTACTGACAACTAAGGTTTCGTTGCTTGAAGCCATTATAGTTTCAGCTATGGGAGTACTCTCTGAAATTATTGCACCATCTATACGAAAATGTTCTGAAGTATCCACCTGATTGTGCTCAACTCTTCTTTGCTTGAGTGTTACTGGAGTCTTTGCTCTGCCCTTTAGTGGTTCTCTCTTCTCAAGCTTGAGCTCTATTTTAGAGTCTTCCTCGTTGTCACTGTATCTCTCAGAGTCATTACTTCCATTCTGTCTTGTATTTTCTGCCGAAGAAGAAATTGTTGGCAAAGGAGTAGAAGATCTTGATTCTGCTCCTTGTTCCCTCAGTTTCAACAGCTTTTTCTCATATAGCTTCCTGGTTGTTCCCACAATAAGGCCAGGATTCACCCCGTATTTCACAAGCTGATCCTGAAGATCTTCATTAGTGAGCTCTGTTGCATCTAAATCATCTTTATCTTCCAGTCTGGGTTTATCAGGTTTCTTTGTGGCTTTCCTGCCGACGGACGCTCGGCTGCGGCCCATGGCAGAGACCCCGGAGCCAAGGACTGGGGTGGGCTCGCGCTCCTCGTCACTGGAGAAGTCTGGGGGCCCCTTGCTGTTGGCGCAGACGGCGAGCGGCTGCCGGTTGCGCCCCGTGAGGTGCTGCAGGTAGAGCTGCACGTACACGTCTTTGTGCTGCTCCCCCGCCGGGAGCGTCACATTGTTGGCCACCAACTCACTCTTCAACTTCTTCATCAGGACAGAAGGGTCTTCCAGAAACTCCGGCATCTCGGCGGCGAATCTGGTTTTCATAATGTTTTATTTTGGAGTTGGAGGAAGGATTTATCTATTCTTGGTGCAGTATTTTGTGTAAGATGGTGATGTATATATGCCAATTACTACTTTTATTAGTTCTCTTAAGTTTTAAGGTGGAAATCAGAGTAGTGAAACTGGAATGGAATGACCAATATGATTAACTCCAAATCAATGATTACTTTTAGGTAAAGCAGACGGCAGCATTCTTTTTCTACTCTATCATATTACAGAATTTCCTCAGATCTTGGAATTTGCTTCCTTCCTAAGATCCTGAGCTGAGCCACCACAAAGACTACAGCTACTCAGGAATTTTCCATCCAATGCAAACCAATAGAGTTCAAGTAAATTTCCAGCTGAGACATTTTAAGAAAATTACATGTCAGGTTTTATGTGAAGTAACAAAAATAGTTAAGATCTTTAAACAATTTTTGAAACTCTCAGTTCATTTACAAAAGACAAAATAAAGACAATCTGTGTGTGTGCGTGTGTGGTGTGTTTGATATACAGTGCTACCTCAGTATTCATTGGCTTCAGAACTCATCAAACCTGATACTTGTCGCATTTTGATGAGAAAAAATGTTTCAGCACTCAGTGCTTGCTCACTACTAGTTGCACTTTGCTAGAACTTGTATGACTCGCAATACCATCCTCCAAGAGAAAAGGCGTCACCGTTCGTTGCTTGCTGGCCACTCATTGGGATGAATTCACGATGAATACTGAGGTATCACTGTGTTGCTATGTGGAGAAACTTTGTTTTATATTTCTCTATATAGCAGGATATATATAAATTTAAAAAATCATTTATATCTGATAAATGCATTAAATCAAGAGAACACAGGTTAGTTTGTAGGTTTTCTTTTTCTTTTTTTAACATTAAAATCTAAGATTCCTATTCATTTTCTTCTGTCACTAAAACCTAACTGCTCTGATCCAAGCACAAGCATCACTGGTCTTAGAATTGAAAATACTGGCATTCAGTCTTGATCCATTTCCTGATTCTCTCTCTCTCTCTCTTTTTCTCTCAAGGTTCTTGGTTTCCCTTGAGGTCTCTTTGCCTTTGAGGTAAAACAGTTATAAAAGTCTGTGTTAGAAGTTACAACACAGTTCACTTTGCTTGGCCCTGTGTTTATGACACGATTGGTATCTTTGAACAGGTGAGAAATTGGAAAAATGTCCCATCTAACTCTGAAAGTGGCACAGTCTGATTACAGGACAGACTATGAAACAGATTTCTTTTCTCTGATCCTAGGTACATCTTACTGCTCTTGTACTGACACCAAGAATAGTTCTGTCTTTTTAACCTTTTCTAAAGATAAGATTATTCCAGGTTCTGGGCCTTGACGATAACTCCAGTGTGTTATCAGTTGTCAAGGCACGCTCTCTACAACCTTAATACACCCTGACAATCACTTTACTGAACGATTCTACCCTAACCTCCAAGAAATTCCCATCCTTGCCAAATACTGCGAAAAATGTTGCAAATGCGTATGCAACCAATGAAAAGAGGTTAAGCCCAAAGCTTTTAGCTTAATTATCCATGCGCTCAAGGTAGAAGAGTCAGAATGCTGCATCTTCCTACTGCAGAGACTTGTATTTTCTTACAGTTATGCTTCCAACCTTTCCAGGCTGGCATGCATAAATAAAAAGATAAGAGAATTGAACTTGTGTCCTGAAAATGGAACTCTAAATACTTAGAAAAGAACCTTTTGTAAGAGTGGGCAGAAATCTGTTCATCTTTCACAAGACTAAAGAACAAGGCAAAGGTCTACTAGCTATAAAAAGATGGAGATAAGAACAGCTGGAAAAAGCTTAAATAGCAGTTTTTTTCCTCATTTACATCCTTTTCACTGTTCTGATTTTTCCTCTAAGAAACCATTTTAGAAATCAAATGAAAAAATGTACCTGGGGATTGATAATATGATGAAAAACCACAGAATAAAGGTATTTTGAAAGTGAGGAAAAATAATCTTTGTAGATGCTACTTTGTTTTTCAATGATCACCTTACCTTAACTGATATTGTATACACACAGTTCTAATGTAAATTTTGAAAGGGGTTTTTTTAATATCTGAACATTTGTTTTGGTGATGTCAGAGTATCTCTTGGACTGAAAATACCTTTGTTTGTTTCAGAGATTCAGAAAAATCTTAATATGCAAAATGACTTTCTGGAGAAACAAGCATTTCATTAGGCAGCTGCCTGGAAATGTTAAGAGATGCTAATTGCTTGGCAGACTTAGAAGAGCAGGGAGCACAGAGGGCTCTCCTTACTCTAATTCATGGAAAGCAGGAAGTGACACCAAATTGAATCTAAGGAATGTATTTTCTGGTTGGTGTATTAACTTTTGTGTTACTCTTAACAAGTTTTATTTTATTTTTTCTAATTGCACATCAGATAAAATTCAAGGCAGAGTAAAGCAATTTAATTATTCAAGTTACAGAGAGTCCCAGACACAATAATTGTGCTTCATTGAATGAATTCAAAATAGGTTGGAGACTTTGGTTAGAAATAAATGATAAAGATTTATTCAAGGGTCTTAGAGTTTGCAAACTGAGAACACAGCTAGGCAAAAACCCAGAAGTGTTCAAAGAAGAAAGAAAATGTAAAAGTTCTTAGAGTAAAAAGTGTAGTCTTGAGAATTATAAATCATGCATTCTTAGCCTTATGATTGGTCCAGGATAGTTATCAGTCAGATGTCAGGCAGTCAGGATGATGGATGCCAGGTGGGTCAGAAGATGGGCACTGGAAGGTCTGATCATATTCAGTAGTCTGAACAATCGATATAAGATGGATGTATAAGTGAGTCCTTCAGGGGGTAATCAAAAGGTTACCTGGATGTTCAGATGTATATCCAAGCATTGTTGCAGGACTGAAAAATTTTTAAACAGTTTAAGTTCCCAGGGTAGGTAGAACAACAATGGAGCCTTTCCTCCGGCCTCAACCTCAGGCCTTCCTAATGTTAATAATTTTAGCATCTTGGGTAAAATGACTTCTTATTAATCACCTTATTTTTTTAAAGATTTTATTTATTTATTTTTAGAGAGAGAGGAAAGGATGGAGAAAGAGAGAGAGGGAAACATCAACATGTGGTTGCCGCTCAAGCACCCCCTACTGGGGACCTGACCTGCAGCCCAGGCACGTGCCCTAGACTGGGAATTGAACTGATGATCCTTTGGTTTGCAGGCTGGCACTCAATCCACTGAGCCACACCAACCAGAGCTTATCACCTTATTTTTATTGTAGGGTTTTTCAACAGTAAATGTACAAGGCGGGACTCCCAAAACCCCAGAATTTATTTATAGAATATGTGTATTTATTCGTACATGTTTAAACTTCAGTCATTTTCCAAGTACTCTCCTTTTGATGCAATATACCTATTGAGACATGATTTCCACTACTCAAACCAACTTTTAAATTAATTGATTTCATGTCTTTTAGTGCTTCTGTTGGTTTTTGTTTCTTCTCTTCCACAATGGCAAAATGTTTCCCTTTGAGAACTTTTTTCATTGGGGAAACAAAAAAAGTCTCTTGGGTGATAATGGGTGAATAGGGAGTGTGGGACATGAGGGTCATGCCCTTTTTGGTCAAAAACTGCTGAACACTTATTGCAGTGTGGGCAGGTGCACTCATAAATTACCCACCATGAAATGGGTATACGTATTGAAAGAGTCTTCAAAAAAAAAAAATTCACTGAAGCTAAATACAACCTCTCACAACAATGCTAGCTGGTATAGATGGGTTTATAGACATTCATCTAGCAGGGAAAGCCTGTATTACAAGAGGCCCGCCCTCCAGAAGATAATTATGGGTTTTTATGTGTCTCCTGTCATATGTCATATATTTTTTCCTTCTTCAGCTTGAAAGACTAAATGTCTTTCCAATAAGTTATCATTCTTACAGTGAAAAAAATCCTCAAATATCATTAATCAAATATTAAACAAATAACATCACACCTAGAGGTAGAGAAAGTAGCGGTCAATTTGAGTCCTAAAGAATGAGTAAAATAGAATGTCTAAGAGATCTTTATCAAAAATAAAACGTTTCCGTTTGTTAAATATTTCTAGCATATACATCCACATCTTAAGACTTTGCATCCCTCCATTGTTTAAAAAATAAAACTTGATCTTCCAAATAAAAGTATTCTAATAATTAAGTAAATAAGTTTTAGGTATTTTAATTAGTATTATGAATAATTTAAAGAATTATTTAGGACTCAGAACCTGAAATTTTCAAAATTTATTTATTCTGGGTTCAAAAAGTTCGTTCTGCTACTTCCTAGCTACATGCTTCTGAGCAAAAATACATTTTGATCTTCATCTTCTCATAAATATATTCACTTAACCCACAAGTTTAATATGAAGTTCAAGCAACTTCACACATACAAAATCATATACCAGCAGTGACTGGTATTCACCAAATGTTAGTTTTTTTTTCTTCCTCTAATGTTTCTGATTAATGACATACTTTTCTACTTTGATATCTCATTACTTATACATATATGAAATGTATATAAAACGTATATAAATGTAAAACACATATATAAAACATACATATGTTTTGTCCAGAATGTATCCAGCCATGTACTATGAAAAGTAGAGACATTTATTGAAGAAACAAGATACAAGAATCACTGTACATAGGACAATGATACCTTAGTCCCCTTCGAAGTTGGCAACTTGGGACCTCAGTTTTCCCAATTGCCATCAGCTGCACCATCATATTTTCCTGAATCTCATTGGCGGTCTGAAATCTCTTCCTTTAAAAAGGTGATTTTGGTTTTGGGAAAAGCCAGAAGTCTCAGAGCACCAAATCTGGGCTGTAGGGGGTCGAGTCACCTGGGTGATTAGAGTTTTTCACCAAAAACTGTGCACGAGATGTGATGCATGAGTGGGCGCAGTGTCGTGATGAAGCTGCCAATCACCAGTTGCCCATAGCTGCAGCCTTCTGAATTATCCAAATAGTTTCCATGGAGGA